GTCTCGGATTTTAATTCGGGGTTCGTTCGTGAAATTGACGTTTTAGTACGGGAAGGTTAAACCGGTGTTTGAACGACCAGAACTGGTGAGGGATTAGCACGGTATACCGGGTTTGTCGTATCACGAAAATTATATTAATGCTTAGAATTGACCTAGATGAACTAGAATGGCATGATTAGGGGTGTATGAACTTTGGTGCTATATGTTGAACCCTGAACTACTGTATGATATTATTGACTTGCCCTAATCGATGTGGACCTTGTTTATGTTGATGATTGCATACATGTTGCCAGTTGGGGCTTAACTGTTAATATGACTTCATGGTTGTTCGATCAGGTGTTTTGACATGATGTGATATTGTGATTGTATTTGGATTCACAAGTGGAGGAAATAAACTTCCCAGGGTGATATTTTGATGTTGAAGGAGGATGACTCGCACGAGGGTTTATCCCGAGGAAGTGCAATTATACGACTCCTGGTTATGTTGAGCCAATTGTGGCCAAGCCAAGAACATGTCTAAGTAATGAATTATGATTAAGCAAGATGAGATATGGATCATGTATAAGGATATTAAGTAAGAGTACTTTGGTCTCATGGTCAATTACATAGTAATTAGGGCTCCCCATGCTATTACTCCGTTATGATATGTTATGTCACACCCCTGATGTGGCGTTGACCATTGATTCATCATGAGATATGACCACACCCAGAGTGGTGTTGAGTCCGATATGACCACACCCAGAGTGGTGTCAAGTCCGATATGACTACACCGGCAGTGGTGGGTCCGATATGACCACATCCATGAGATGTTTGGTCCGTATTCCCGGGAGAGTAATTAGCATGGGAGTAGCCAGGCGCCTATGATTAAAACATGATAAGATGCATATGCATAAGTCAAGGTGGTTGAGTCTTTTGCCTATTGGGATATGAGGATGGCTGAGGTCTGATCCTAGTTTTTTGGCTTGATTGTTAGATGTATGATAGGGGTATGCTCTGTTATGAACTCACGATGCTATGATTATCTCACTCAGCTATGAGATGACCCTCTTTTATTCTTCTTCTCTGCTTATGCTATGTGTAAGCAGATCATCAGTAGCAGCAGTAGATAAGTGTTAGGTGGGAGAGGAGCTAGAGTTGAAGCCAGGATGAGGTATGGTCTTCAACTATTCTGTGCTTGGACGACTACTCGGGATTTGGCCAGTGATCCACATTTTTTGTAAAAAAATGTTTTGAGAACGTTTTTCATGTGCATACTAGCTTCTGATGTAGTGTGAGATATCCACAGGTGTGGAAAGTTGATGATATGTGTATATGTTGTGTAACTGTGTAAGTTGTGACGATTATGGTATGTATAAGTATGGTATGCAGTTGTGGAGTATGAAAAGTGTGACTATGGCTAAGAAAAGCCAATGCATATGGTTGTGAGTATATATGTTTGTGATGAATTTATTTTGCAGGATAAGTTGCAAGAATTGTTAGCCCATTACGCGAGTAATTCATGTCGAAATTTTATTTGGGTAAATTTTGATAATTAATGTAACACCCGAGATTAATTTCGCTGCAATTGTATGAACAATATGATTAGGCAAAACGTATAGAGTAGGGTGTTACACTTTTGATTCTCAACTGTGATCCATGGATTCTCCTCCTTCCCAGCTGGAGTTGACTGTTGATACCTCCCAGAAACCTCTGATGAGTTATCATTAACAGACAATTGTGGAATAGGCTTCTTGACTCTCACCAATCAATATATAGAATCTTTATGATTATGAGAGATTTGATATTTATTGATTTTAAAGATTTGAAATCTCTACAACTAAAATCGATAATACAAAAAGTAACAAAAAAAACATAAATTTCTACAACATCCACGGATTTGGTGAATCCACAACCTAAAGCATGTTCTCTAAACAATCCTTAAAGGTTCCCATTTTCCCGATTGCTCTAAAAAGATTTTAATATAATTTTCTTTGTTTGAAAATTGTGATGTTAAACTCTAACAAAAGTAGAAATTTTATTTTTTTAGCAAATGGCATGTTTAGCCTTAAACAAAAGAAGTGAGTCAAAACTTTTGATTTTTTTCTAAGGATATTTGGTAGGATAAATAAATAAAAAAGAGATAAAGTAGGAGTAACAAAAATCTCACATATAAATATATAGATCTCTCTGATTATGAGAGATTCGATATCTTCAGATTTTGGAGATTTGAACTCTCTGAACTAAAATCTATAATAAAAAAACAACAAAAAATATAACTTTATGCTAAATCTATGTATTCAATGAATATATGATCCAACAGCAAAAGATACAAATATCGAACCTCAATCACAGGGATAAGACGGACTACAAAAGCGATCGATCGGAAGTGGGTTGCAGAGCGAAGCGAAGGGGCAAAGAGGGAGCGGAGCGGGAAACTATGCTCCAAATCATTTCCTCTAAACGAGCTCTTAGCTGGTTTAAAAGAATAATTGATTCTTTATCCCAAAATAAAATAAGAGTACTTCTTTGGAAAAAAAAATGAATAATTTGTTTGGACCAAATCGGATAATATATTGACAAAAATATAGAACTTTCATTCAAATTGAAAGACAGAGTTAGGGTGCTAATGCGAGAGCTCAATTGATTGCAATCTGACAATCTTTATTGAAAATGAAAGACTCGAAGTTTTGTACGTTGGTTTCAACCACAAATCACAACATCCACGACTCTAACCACTAACATGACCCTTCAAACTAGCTAACACGATTAACTACCAAGCTACTAACTCGCAGCTGCAACTAACAGCTTTGCAGGACCAAACTAGACATAAGACATAAATAACTGGACCATGAATTACATAAACCAAACGGCGTCGTTCCCTTTTATTCAGACTAACTCTCTTTTAAACTTGACTCTTTGGCGCCATCGTTAATCCTTCTCCGCAGCGGATTCAAATTTCTTCAGCTTCTTCCTACCAGCTTTAGTTCTGCACCAAAAAATCCTCACCTGAACTGAAGCTGGTCTTTGATCTTCAGTTAACCTCTGCAACTCCAATCTCATCAGCACCACACACTCCAAGCTTGCCTCGTAGAAGATGGAAAATGTCCAGCTTCAAGGATTTGGTCATCACATATGCTACTTGATCGGCAGTCCCACAAATGACAGCTCCATGACTCCTTCCTTCACCAGATCCCTTAAGAAGTGGAAACGAACATCAATATGCTTGTTTCTACCATGCATGACTGGATTCTTGGCCAGCTTTATAGTGGAACTGTTATCACACATGATCTTTGTTCCATTCTTTACACTGCTTTCCCAGCCCATCTCCTGCAAAATCCTTCTCAACCAGATACACTGAGCAGCACATATGATGTTGCCACAAACTCTGCTTCTATTGTGGAGAGGGTAATCACTGGCTGCTTCTTGGAGGCCTAAGAGGTAGCTGCTCCAACAAGAAAAAACACATATCCACTAGTTGATTTCCTATCATCACAGTTACCAACATAGTCACTGTCTGTGTATCCCAGTAGTTGCTCTTCCTCCCCTTGATTCCCTTTATACCAAATGTCATGACTCATTGTTCCCTTCAGGTATCGAAGTACCTCTTGGCTGACTTCTCTTTTAATGAACAAGGTATGTTCATACGGGCACTTTTCAAACCCAGATTTTAGAAAATAACCCTCAGTCCTGTTGTACCAAGCTCTAGGGGCTTGTTTGAGTCCATAGAGAGCTTTATGAAGTTTATACACCTTACTTTCCTCCCCAGCAACCTCAAACCCTCGAGGTTGCTCAACATAAATTTCTTCAGAAATCTCTCCATTGAGGAATGCACTCTTGACATCCAACAAGTATACTATGAGACCATGAAATGCAGCCACAGCCAGAAGAGTTTTAATGGTATCCCATCTGGCTATAGGTGCAAAAACTTCAGTATAATCAATTCCATGTTGTTGTCCAGACCCTTTGACTACAATTCTAGCCTTGCTCTTGTCAACATTCCCATCCTCCAGCAGCTTGGTCCTGTAAACCCACTTCAAACCAAGTGGTTTAACCTCAGGTGGGAGTTCAGTTAAGGTCCAAGTTTGGTTCTTCTCAATGGAATGCATTTCTTCCTGCATGGCTATACATTCCATTTAGGATCCAGAGAAGCTTCCTCAGAGGTCTGGGGGTCATCTGCAACAGCAACCATGGCCATCCAGTCTTGTGTAGCATAGCTGCAATCATAGATGGATAGATGAGCAGGTGGTTTGCTGACTCGTTTGCTCAAACCGGTGCTGGGAAGATCTAGAACATCCGTAGAAGGACCAATTTCATCTTCATCTGTGCTTTGATCAGTAGTGATTGTCCCAGATCATGTTGGAGTTGTTGGACTAGGAGGCTGATCATCATTTTCAACAGTATCTGCAGGAACTGAACCTGCTACTTGATCTGATTCATCTTCAGAGTCTGAGTTCTACCAACCATCATCACTTCCTTCCCAAGTCAACTTTGTGAGAACTAGTTGATCAAAAGAATTCGAGTCTCATCCCTTAGTTTCATCAAACACCACATATCTACTCACCACCACCTCCTTTGTAGTAGAGTTATAAAGCTTGTAAGCTTTGGATTCCACATAGATGCCTAGAAACTGGCACTTTTCACTCTTATCATCCAGTTTCTGCCTTTTCTAACATGTACATAGGCAGTACATCCAAAAACCCTGAAATGAGATATGGATTGTAGGGCTGGATTTTTGGTTAGATCGGTTATAACCGATAACCGAAATGTCGGTTACCGGTTAACCGCGACGCTAGTCTCGCCTACCGCCAACCGCCCGACGGAAGCCATCGGTTAGCCGGCAACCGACCGGTCAGTTACCGGTTAGTTGCTCGGTTAATCGTGGTAACCGACAAGACGGGTATTCGGAGAAGAAGGAGAAGAGGAAGAAGATGAAAGCTTTGGCACAGGAGGCGACAGGCTTTGGGACTTCTCAACCTCAACAAATGGGGCTAGGGTTACTAACTTCACGGGTACTCAGACCCCGCGCTATCTCTGGTTAATTGAAAGTTTAACTAATCTCATATAGTTGAATTTGTGCAATTTGATGTTGATCAATAATGGGATCGATGGAGCTGGGAGTTTGGTCTGTGTGGTTATGTATATGAATATGGACCCCAGGAATCTCTTCCTCCTCCGCTCCATCGTCACCAAGCCCGAACTCCAATCTCCCGAGGCTGCCGCAGCGGCCGCACCAGAGCCGACTCCAGATCTCCCGCCTCGAAACCTGGTGGGCGGGGCTCGGGTTCACTTCCCCAATCCCGAGGACGCCATCGAGGTGTTCGTCAATGGGTATCCTGTCAAAATCCTCAAGGGGATGACGGTTCTGCAGGCTCGTGAAATCGCCGGGGTTGATATCCCGAGGGAAGATGGTCGTTTTGCCATGCCTGCTCTTCCTGGTTTTTAAATCCGCCGGCGGAGGGGAGATGGTCGATGGAGGAGGGTTGGGCAGGCGGCAGGCGGCAGGGAGACTGGGAGAATGGGAGAATGGTCGATTGAGGGGCTCGATTGGGGTTTTTGCGGAAGAGGAGGGCGGCGTAGTTTTAGGATTGAAGGGGGAGGGGGTTAGTTTTGCCGGTTAGCCGGTTAACCGGTAAAGCTGACCTCGCTACCGAACACCGCCCGATTTTGTAATTTTCGGTTAGCCGGTTAACCGGTAACCGCCGGTTATCGGTTTAACCGGCCGATTAACCGGCAACCGATAACCGAACGTCTAGCCCTAATGGATGGAATGCTGCCAGTCCACAGTTCTTGAGGAGTCTTACCCAGATTTGCTGTTGTTGGACTAATATTGAGAATATGTGAAGTTCAGGCAACTGCCTCTGGCAAAAAAACTGATGGAACCTTCATGTCCTCCAGCATACACCTTACCATGTTCATCAAGGTTCTATTTCTTCTTTCTGCCACTCCATTTTGTTGGGGTGTGAAAGCTGCAGTTAACTGCCTTCTGATTCCAGTTTCATCACATAATTCTTTAAGTTCATTGAGCATGAACTCACCACCTCGATCAATTCTAAGACTTTCAATCTCTAGACCAGTTTCCTTTTCCACTTGAACTTTGTACTTTTTAAATCAGTTTAGAGTTTCTGACTTAGCCATCATAAAGTAGACCCACATTTTTTTGACTAAAATCATCAATGATAGTGAAGATATACCTTTTACCTCCATTAGAGATTAGAGTGACTGGATCACAAATATCTGCATGGATCAACTGCAATTTGTGAGTAGCCCTCCACTGACTTCTTTTTGGAAATGGTTGTCTATGTTGCTTGCCAATTTGACAAGTTCCACAGACTCCAATTCCTCCATGCAACTTTGGTAGATCCTACACCAGTCTCTTCTTCTCCAGCAACTGCAGACTCCTGATGTTCAGATGACCAAAACGCCTATGCCACAATTGGATTGGACTTTCTACAGAAGTATTGGTCTGCAAGCATTGAGCATGATCAGCTCCAAACTGATTTTCTGTATGAAACACAAACATCCTGTTTGACTTCATTTCAGTTTGAAGCAGCAGGAGCCCTTTGTCTTCATGGAAGATTTGACATCTCCCACTCTTAAACAGAAAAGTAAGTCCATTTTCTTGTCACTGACCAATACTGAGTAAATTGGTCTAGAGACCTGGCACATAAAACACATCCTGCACCGGAAGCCCTCTTTGGTTGATAACTAGCTTCAAAGTTCCATTTCTAACAACACTCAATCTAGAGTTGTTCCCCAGCCTGACATTGCAAGCAAAGCTAGCATCCATCTCCACAAACCATTTCTTATCACCACTCATGTGGTTACTGCACCCAGAGTCCAAAAACCACCTGTCTTTATTGCTATCATGTTTGATGGTATCAATAAGAGCCATCAAACCTTGGTCATGTGCTTCCTTCTCCGACTCTTTTGAGTCCTCAAAATCAACACAGGCCATCAACATGTCCTCTTTCATATCACCATAGGTCTTATCATGGATATAGTCAGAACTGGTGTAGTGAGCTTGTTGATTGCTATAACACTCAGGACACTCATTTCTGTAGTGTCCCAGTTTGTGGCGCTTAAAGCATTCAACAGAATCCCTATTCCAACCTCTTCCTCCTCGACCTCATCTTCCTCTCCCTTCATTGTTCCCTCTGCCTGGTCCTCTTCCTCCCCTTCCACCAAAGTCATGAGAGACCCTAAGAGCCTGGTCTCCCTCATGCTTGGATGGTTTCTTGAACTTCTGTTCATGAACCAACAGAGAACTTTGCAGAGCATCCACATTGAAGCTATCAATGTCCTTTGATTACTCTATAGAACACACTACATAATTAAATTGTGCAGTAAGCGTTCTAAGAATCTTTTCAACAATCTTACCATCTGACATCATTTCACCATAGTTCCTCATGGTGTTAGCAATCACCATCACACGAGAGATATAGTCATTGACAGAATCTCCCTCATTCATCTCAAGAAGCTCAAAGGATCTTCTAAGCACCTACAACTGTGCCTTTTGAACCCTTTGTCCTCCTTGAAACTTCACACGCATAGAATCCCATAGCTCCTTTGTTGTAGCCTTCTTAGTTATTGTCTTCAAGATGGTCTTATCAATAGAACTGAACAAATAGTTTTTTGCCTTGAGATCCTTCAGCCTCATATCTTCCAGAGTCTTGAGTTGATTAGGAGGAAGCTTTTTATTTGCAGCAGGATCCCTGAACCCCTTACTGACCACCCTCCGGTACTCCTTGGATCGAAGCAAATTCTCCATGAGCAACGTCCAGTGCTCATAATCACCATCAAACCTGGGAATACACACCTGAGCAAAACTACTGTTCTCTCCCATGACTTCTTCACACGAAAACTCTCAGTCTCACTATGAGACTCTCTCTCTCCTTCACACAACACAAAATCACAAACAACTCTCGTGTTTCCCAAAACCCAGAACACAATGATTTCACTCAATCTCTCTGATTTTTACTCGTTGGTTACAACTTGCTTGAGGCTCTGATACCACAATGTGAGAGCTCAATTGATTGCAATCTGAAAATCTTTATTTAAAATGAAAGACTCAAAGTTTTGTACGTTGGTTTCAGCCACCAATCACTGCATCAACGACTCTAACCACTAACCTGACCCTTCAAACTAGCTAACACGTTTAACTACCAAGCTACTAACTCGCAGATGCAACTAACAACTTTGCAGGACCAAACTAGACATAAGGCATAAATAACTTGACCAGGAATGACATAAACCAAACGGCGTCGTTCCCTTTTATTCATATTGACTCTCTTTTAAACTTGACTCTTTGGCACCATCGCTAATCCTTCTCTGCAGCGGATTCGGATTTCTTCAGCTTCTTCCTACCAGCTTCAGTTCTGCACCAACAACTAACACCCAATTGTTAGCATGGTGCTAACAATAGCTCCAGCCAATAGGAATATTTCATTTTGATAACTTCTTTATTTCAATATATTGACCACAATTAATGGAGAATTATAAATGGATAAGCACACTTGTCATTATTAAAGATTGTGAGGACACATGCATGTGTGTTATGCATTAATTGGGGGGCCATAAAACATAACAAATCACACCACAAATATCAAAAAACATACAGGGAAGGGTATAAAAACATACTACAACTTTAACGCACCACAAATTAATAAAGCATATCATAAAACTTATAAAATATTCCAAAACTTCACCACACCATAAATATCGGAAAGCTTATAAAACATACCACAAGTATTGTCAGAACAGAAGCGTGCAATCGATAATCCAGATGAACACAAACGAACACGAATTTAACGTAGTTCACTAACACAATGTGTTTTAGCTAATCCACGGGCAGGGGAGAACAAATTTCACTAATTTGAGGAGAGTACAGGTTACAAACCAAATTCCAGAACAAACAAACTAACCTGACTGACCTTACTACAAACTAGGGTGATGAAGAGTATTTATAGAACTCTTCTCCTAATCCCAAACAGAAAACCAAACACCTTTTCCCAAACATACAAGGAAAAGGTCATAACAAAGCCCAAACAAAATAAGCTCAAAACACAAAACAAACCCAAATCAAATTCAAGTCATATTCTACAAATCTCCATCTTGACTTGAATTCTCTCTCAAATATCAGGTGTACCAGACGCAACCAAAGTTGCTAGATGTACCCAAACGAGATACATATCGCCAAACTCAAACGCGATGCAAATCGCCAAATGTGACAGAATCTCCCCTGCCTCCAAATGCACTAAGGGCGGTCAACAACTCAAACCATTTGGCAAGTCCAACCCAAGTTGAGACTTGCCATTCAGAACCAGTTTGGTGCACTATCACTAACAGAACATGTCAAAACAGAACCTTGTAGACCATACAAGGCACCAACCATGACACCTTTCAGAATCACACTAGAACCTTTGTAGACAGACAACACTCCACCTTCACCTTTGAAACTGAAACCCTTGTTGTCTAGTAGACTCAAAGATATTAGATTCTTAGTCATCTCTGGAATATGCCTAACATTGTTCAAGGTGCGAACAAAACCATCATGTGTCCTTATCCCGACAGAGCCTCTTCCAACAATCTTACAGCTAGCACCATTGGCCATAGAAACATGCCCTCCATCTATTTGCTCATAAGTTGAAAAACACTCCCTGTTTGGACACATATGATAATCAGCTGAAGTATCTAAATACCAAACATTCTGATGCTATACCTGCTCATTCACTTCTAAGGATAAACCATTTTCAGAATCAGAGTTAGTTTCTTCGGTTACAGCAACAAATGATTTCTTCTTCTCCTGATATTTCTTTAGTTTAGGACAATCAAATTTCCAATGTCTTTTCTCCTTGCAGTAAGGACATATATCATCATCCTTCAAACCAACATAATTTGAATTTTTATTCACCTTCCTATTACCAGATTGTTGTCTTCTACTACTCGTAGCAGCCAACCCAGATGCCTGATTTTCCGAACCTGAACCAGATGCTTTATGTCGCACCTCTCTAGTATGTAGAGCAGATATGATATCTTCCAAAGACAAACTATCTTTCCCAACAATAAAAGAATCCACGAAATTCTCATATGATTGTGGCAAAGATACTAACAGAATTAAGGCATCATCCTCATCATGTATTGTAACATCAATATTCCGCATATCTAACAAGATAGTATTGAGTTGATCTAGATTATTCCTAGGAGACGTACCTTCATCCATACACAAACTGAACAAACATTGCTTCAGATGCAACTTGTTGGTTAAAGACTTTGTCATGTATAGACTTTCAAGCTTCAACCACAAGCCCGCGGAAGTCTTCTCAGCAGCAACCTCAGTGATGATGTCATCAGCCAAACAAAGCAAGATTGTAGAGTGAGCTTTCTCCTCCAAAGTAATCCACTCTTCTTCATCTATGCTTTCCTTCTTCGATTTTACAGATAACGGAGCCCACAAACTCTGTTGTTTCAACAGTGCTTGCATCTTGATCTGTCACAAACTGAAACTGTTTCTCCCAGTGAACTTAACAATCTTCATACTGATAGTAGACATCCTAACTCCAACCAAACTTCTAACCAAACAAGCGAGACCAAAACACAACTACCCAAAGTCAACTCCAAAGCGATTCCTCCACCGAACCAAGTTAAGAATTGAAAACTACCTCCACAAAGCAAAACTTGAGTCTAGCGCCAAATTCCCAAAATCGCAACCAGAGGCTCTGATACCACTTGTCAGAACAGAAGCGTGCAATTGATAATCCAGATGAACACAAACGAACACGAATTTAACGTAGTTAACTAACACAATGTGTGTTAGCTAATCCACGGGCAGGGGAGAACAAATTTTCTAATTTGAGGAGAGTACAAGTTACAAACCAAATTCCAGAACGAACAAACCAAACAAACTAACCTAACTGACCTTAGTACATACTAGGGTGATGAGGAGTATTTATAGAACTCTTCTCTCAATCCCAAACAGAAAACCAAACACATTTTCCCAAACATACAAGGAAAAGGTCAAAACAAAGCCCAAGCCCAAACACAAATCCAAACAAAATAAGCCCAAAACACAAAACAAACTCAAATCAAATTCAAGTCATATTTTAACAAGTATCTTAAAACACACCACAAATTTCTCATAACATACAAAAAACCTCATAAAACTTATCACAAGTTCATTAAAGCATACTACAAGTTCAATAAAGCAGACCACAAGTTTATTAAAGTACACCAAAAGTTTTTTAATGTAGACCACAAGTTTCCTGAAAGCATACCAAAAACCTCATAAAGCATACAACAAGTTTCTTAAAGCATACCACAAGTTTCTTAAAGCACACAATAAGTTTCTCGAAGCAAATCAGAAACCTCATAAAGCATACCAGAAACCTCATAAAACATACAAGAAAACTCAGGAAACCGACCACAAGTTTATTAAAATATAGGGTAATGTCTATTTTTATCCAAACCTTTGTCAAATTCTTTTATATTATCCAAACTTATCAAAATACTAAGAAGTATCCAAATGTTAACTTTCAATTAGCAATTTTGTTAGTAATATTGACTTGGTAACATGATACTGACTTGGAAGAGACACATGAAGGTCAACATTCCAAAATTTTAGTATTTTAACTAAGAAAAAAGTTACAAAATTATTAACGATAACGTAAAAAAGACTAATATTTAGATGCATTACGAAAGATTTGACTAATTAATAGCATTTTAATAGGTTTGGATAATATAAAAGAATTTGAAAAAAGTTTGAATAAAAAATAGACATTACCCTAAAATGTACAACAAATATCTTAAAGCATACTAGAAACCTCATAACTTGGGTCTATTTATAAATTTTAGGGTAAATACAATTTAATATTCAAACCTTGTAATAAAAAAAATAGCCAAATCTTTAAAAAAATAATATAATAGTCAAACCGTTAACTTTCCATCCAGTCTAACGTTAGTTGGCTCTGACGTGGCCAACTTATTGCTGAGTTGGAAGAATTTTAGTGATATGGGAAGAAGTCGAGTGTTTAACTAGACTATTGAAAATTAATTAATTTTTACCCATCACTTTTTTAAAGAAAATCACATAAATAATTATTAACAACCACCCAATTCCCCTATCCATTCGCCTCCCTCTCTTTCATCAATTTCCTTCCTTCTGGCGAACTGAACGCGGCCACCACCAAGCAAGCACTAAGACTAAACTCGCCAATCATTGGAATCATTTTGCCTATAAATTCAAAAAAATCTTCTGGCCCCGCCGCCAGTTTTTCATCATTGTGATGCCAATCTCATCCCCCCATGTATCGTATTCTTCATCTTCTCCTAGCGACCGTCGAGACCAGAAGCAATGAGAAGGGAGAGTGCCTCTCATTGATGGAGATCAAAAGAAACCAAAAGCCAGAAGCAAGGATAGGAAACAAAGCTCTCACAAATTGGTGCAAAACCCAAAAGAAGTCCCGTAAACCAGGGTTATCGATTTGTCTCTCTTCCCCTCGTTCATCGATGAAACACTATCATTTCCTTTCTTTCCAGATTTGGCGGCGGCGGGATTGTGAACGAGAGAGCAGAGGTCGACGCCAACAAGTGTAAGAGATTAAAAGACTTAACAAACCATTTTCCAATAACTCGAATTATTGGGACAAAGTGGTTAGTTCGCCAACATGGTATTAGAGCCTAGAATCGAAAGATCATGGTTTCGAATCCTCATGACCACCCCCAATTTTCAGCCATTTCTTTAGCACAAGGGATGGTATGTCCAACTTGTGCAAACTAAAGACTCGTGGTTTGATAGTACAATGGTTCAAACTGTGCAAACCATAAAAACTAGTTGTGATTCGGCATCAGCGGGAAAAAATGGCGAAGGAGTTAAAGAGGAAAGATAAGAGAATGAGGAAGCCGAAGGTCAAGGGCATAAGCCAATGGCTATTTTTTGTTTTCATTTTTATTTTATTTTGTAACTTAGAATAGTAATTTGATAAATAAAAAAGAAATAATTATAAGCTGACGTGTACAAGAATTTACCACATCAGAGTTAACTAACGTTTGAGCGGACGAAAAGTTAACGGTTTGGCTATTATATTGTTTTTTCGAAAGATTTGGCTACTATTTTGTTTAAAATTAAAAGTTTGGCTATTATATTGTATTCACCCTAAATTTTAGGTATCAAAATGTAGGACATAAAAATTTTAATTACTAAAATATAATTTCCCATCATTAATTTTAGGTAGTAGATCTTAACATCTATTAAGTTTATGTATCACACTTAGCGCTGGAGGTCGGTCGGTTTCGGTTTAACCAAAAACTGAATTTTTGGTTAAAGGTTAACCGAACCACGTCCCAAACCTACCGACCATCGACCAAAAGAGGGCTCAAGGCTTCGGTTTTTCTGATTTTTGGTTAACCGAACCGTCTCCCAAGACCAAAACCATCTCGCCATACCTCTGAACACCGACCAACTTTCGGTTATCTCGGTTTTTGGTTAGTGGATAATCGACCAGTTTCGATTATAACCGATTTGTTAACCGCTAACTGAGAACTGATTGTCCAGCCCTAATCACACTATATTTTCCTTATGAAACCCAAATCAAAGGGATAGAGGGGGAAGTGGGTTGCTCTTATGAGTGGCTAGTTACTGTTGGCACCCATTTTTGTCCGGATTTTCCTAAAGTAAATAATTTTGTTCAAACCTGGTTTAAACACAAGAAATTCATCATCCTGTTACAATCCATTTCTATTACAACTTTGGGCTTCCAACCCATTCAGTCACAAAAAGAGAAATAGCTATAAAAGGCCCATAGCCAACAGTTTCAGACCCAGCAACCCACATAGTGGGCGAGACCGGTTCGATTCACCAGACCAGACCCGCTCCTCCTCTGCTCCACCATCATCGCCTAAATGCTGCCTGCAAAAACAAGAGAAATAACCAAGCTCCATGCTTTGGTGAGTTGTACAAGGCAGAAGAGTAAATGGATGGAAGAGAAAATGGATCTGGGTTGCAGAAAATTGATTGGAGGCATGGGTAGTAGGTTGATGTGGTTGAAGGGGTGTGGGAGAAAGTTCCTGACTTTCTGCTTTCTCTATAAGAAGCAGAGGAGAACGAAGGAAGTAAAGGGAGAGGAGGGGCAGTTTGTTCAATCTCTTTTCCAATTTCAACTCCATTCCAGTGCCAGAGAAATCAATCCCTGCAATCGTTTTCATTCCACCACAGAGAAAATAAACATAATCCATATATGCATCCTCCAAACCATACAATCATATCACCTTTAAACTTCATTCTCCATTTACGAAAACCAAAAGACAGAAAATACCAATCTACCAGAATACTGCCATCGTTCACCTCCGCCGTCATCGCTATTCTCCCCACGGGTCCTCTGCTCACTGATCTCCTCCGTCGTTTCCTCCCGCTGTCACATTCACCTCCCGAGTCTGTCGCAACTACTGCCCGCTAGCTCCTCGCCGCCATTATCGGCACCCTCCGCAACTCCTCATCGCTGCGCCTTCCATATCTACCTCACCGGCCAGACCACAACAGCATAACCGACGCCTCTAGTCGTCGTTTCTGCCCCCAGCTCGTGCCTTCGTCGCCGTCGCTGTCTGCAACTTATCTCGTCGCGCAGGGAGAAGAAGAAAAGGAATTCGCGATGGAGAAGGAAGAATCAATTTTGGAGTGGGAGCTCTCATCTGCGTCAGACTACACACTACAGGTAAAGGGTTCTTTTATCCTTTAATTTCTATTTTCTAACTAATGACATCTATCACCGCAACCCTACCATAGTTGCAGTTTTGATCCTCCATCTTTTTAAGTAAACCGAAAACACCACCCACTTACTGAAACTCGAACTAACTAAATTTATCTTTTCAATCTATTTTATATTCGTGTAATTTACTATCATTTCCAATTTTTACATCGTTAAAATCTCATAAATCATTTCCTTTTAAGTAAAACTAAATAAAATATAAAGTAGGAATGGATGCGTTCCCTAAACTACATTGTTCTATCAATAATGATTATTAACAAACCTTTCTAATACAAATGATATTTCAATCCAATTAATATGAATTAATGCCAATCGAACTACGCGGACTTTGATCTCGAGATGTTGGGTACGTAGGCGACCGAAAGGTTCAAGTCCACATAACTTCTAAAATATTATTTTATCAAATTATACGATCAAGTCATTACCGATGGGTACATGATCAATTTATCACCTAACCCTTTTTAAATAAATTACGATCGATGGATCGTGTTCAAATCAATAAAATATTACGTACTAATGGGTACGTGATGAATAATCATTTAACCTATCTCAAACAAATTACGATTGTTGGATCGTCATCAAATTAACCAACTATTACGTACCGATGGGTCGTAAGAAAATGTTTTAAAACAAGTAAACATGGCGAACTACGAGGGCTTTGATCCCGAGATGTCGGGTACGTAGGCGGCCTACGGGTCCAAGTCCACTAATAAATAAAACCCTTTTCTCCCTAAAATTAACAAAAACGTTTATTAATTCTTCCAACGTAATTACATGTTGATGAACATGTAATATATGTAAAAAATGACATCACATATTCGATGTAAATCCAAATAATTTCAAACAAGCAAGTATCAATTAAGAAGACATCAAACTTATAGTACCGACTTAGGGCGATGTAAGGGTGCTAATACCTTCCTTACTCGTAACCGACCCTCGAAACCATAAATCTATTTCGCAGACCGAGCCGAGCCTAAATCGTAACCGATTTATGCTTGACTTCCCAAGTGTCCAATCCACTTTGAGAGATGGTGGCGACTCCTCTTTTTCGCGCCGCGTCGCGGACGGACCGTTTGCGACAGTTACTATAATATCTTTTTTCTTAGGAACTACTAGTCGTCATGCATTGAGTAATATTAAAAATAGATAGCCTTCAAAAAGAAATTCAATAAAGAGGTGTGTTGGGAAGAATAAGGAAAGAGTTTCAATAAGAACACGGAGTTGGAGTTTGAACTGAATATATAATACCTTTAATGAATTATGTTAATCTCGTACAAACATTAAAGAGTGTTAGCACCTTATCTGGTTTCCAACATAAAATATGTTTGCCTTTAGGTGTTGGCCGGATGAGTTTCACTTATTATTTATATTGATTAATATATATTGATACACTTACATATATTATTATGCCCCTACTATTATTAATATTATCATAATGGGTAGTATTAATTAATGCCCTAGGTTTTCTAAAATTATCACCCTAACTTGGCAATTTGACATTTTTGCCCCAAAAAATTCACAATCCCTAACAAATTTTCGCCCTAGGATTAACGTATGTCGCCTCCGGACGCTATGGGAGTCTTCGCCGTCTGGGAGTGCTATTGGGATCACCGCCGCCGCCGAGTGTTGCTGTCACCGCCACCACGACAACTGCCTTCCGATGCGCCCTCGACCTCGGGATTCCTCGCGGCGGCTGGAAGTGCTGCTCGGTCCACCTCATCGATGTCGCCATTACTCCATTCCCAAGTTTGTTCCGCGGGCGGAGCGCCGATTTTGATGTCGCACTGATATCGGGGTCTGGATCCGTCATTTTCCATTCCAACCTCGAACTAATGGCGATTTTCCTCTCAACCCGACTTGCAAAACAATAAAAATTAGTATATTTTAAATAACAACTAGCTTATAACCCGACCCATTGGTCGGAATATGATTATTTGATTATTTATATTTTTATGTTACGTTTAAGCTAATCAATCAGTTTAATTTTATTGACAATCCTTCGATCGAGATGATACATAAAGAAAGAATATATAGGTCTAACATTTGGAGAAATACCATCATCATTTAAGAATATAAAATGTATCATTAGTTCTATTTTCATAATGATAATTAAGCTCTCATTAAAATGATATTGGTTAGTTGATTGTCAAGAAAGAGGGTATAAAAGCTCAGTGAAATTCCACACGACCCATAGATAGTTTGAAACTAAATATTAAACATCACAATCCTACATAAGGGTTTAATGTGCTCCTTTTATGAACAATATGCCACTAATCAAAAAGAAATGAAGAGTTGTTGATTCAAGTCAACTATATACTAACAACTCAGCTAAGAGGAGACCATCAAAACTTGAGAGCAAAAGACAAAATTAGAGTTATCTCTAATATACTAATAGACTCAATCAAAGTGATAAGACACAAAATTAGACTCTCCTTGTCTATCAGTTCCAGTAGATTGAATAAAGAATCGATCTACTTCAATAAATCAATCAATGATTCCTCGTTTTAAGATAGAAATAGGTTGTGATAGATGTAAAAACCATAAATATAAAGTTCCAATAGTCACCACTCTTCGTTGTACAACCAAATTTTTATCTCAAGAGACATATGTTTCAACCAGAAATTCAATTTCTAATCCTCCTACTGCAACTCCATTATTGATTAAACTCTTTTACATGCCCAACTTAAATTCCCAACAATAAAACCGACGTGCCAAGAGATACCGGATGATTGATTTTCAAAGGCGGCCTTGTACTGGGAAGTGAAAGGGGTGCAAACTATTGTACGATGGAGGAAATTTTCGAGGAAGTTAGAAAGAGATAAGAACAAAGATAAAAACCACAAAATTTAAATTGAAAAATGCAAGGATACAACATGTAGTGACAAAATTAGTTTTTCCATGTTAGCCGATTACCAATTTACCTATAGCAAAAATTAAGGAGAGAGAAAAATTTTAAAATTGAGAAAGTACATGAAACTCTACAATGAAAATTGAAGTATCAAGCACCATAAAAATATATACGATATACTTAGTGGACTTGCTAATCATGATGGAAAGTTCTACGATTTTCATAGAGTTGAACTTCGTGTATGTTCTGTATTAAAAAAGACACAACAAATTTGTTCAGTGTAAATGGTTGTGATTGTCTTCTTTGTTTGAAGAAACCTGGGTTTAAATCCTAATGTTGATATTTTTCATGTGAGATAAATAATTAATTTTAAAAACAAAAATATCCTTCCTACTTTCACTCTCGTTGCATGAAATTTGAAATGGAGAAAACTCCACTATGCAGTATATATGATTGGAATGTTATAATTAATTTCTTAAAACTAAATTTGCATCCATCTTAATTATGAAACAGTACCTACACCACTCACTGGACGTCCCTGGTTGACAACCATGATAAGTAAGCAAGGGAAGTGCACAGCACAGAACAGATAAGCGGCTGACAGTCTCCGGTAGAGGGCCAAAGAAGAAGAAATGGAAGCCACACTCGCATCCACATCCACAACTCTCCGAACTTTCCTGACCACATTCTCCCCTCAACTCCACTCCCTCCGATTTTCCCCTGCTTTCCGGGAAAAACAACTCGCCGGCGCCGGAAACAAAATCCCCACCTCGCTACTAAAGCACGATTCAACCCGCCGGCCTTCTCGTCACTTTCCTCTGAGAGTTTCCGCAAGCTCCCAGGCATCCCCAGAGGCCGCCGCCAAAGTCTCCGCCGTTCCTTCCACGATGAAGGCCTGGATTTACGGAGACTATGGGACCGTCGACGTCTTGAAGTTCGACGAGAGCGTCTCCGTGCCGGAAATTAAGGAGGACCAGGTTCTGGTCAAGGTCGTCGCCGCCGCTCTCAACCCAGTTGATTTCAAGCGGAGGCAGGGGAAATTCCAGTCCACTGATTCTGCCCTTCCGGTAGGTTAAACAGTCGGAGTAATTAATTCCTCAATTCTTTCAATTAGCTGTACTGCCCGTTTGATTACTGAGAGAAAAATTCAAAATGCGTCTTTGTAGACTGTTCCAGGGTATGATGTTGCCGGAGTGGTGGTGAAAGTTGGGAGCCAAGTGAAGGAGCTCAAAGAAGGAGATGAAGTGTACGGCGACATTCACGAGAAGGCCCTGGATGGGCCTAAACAGTTTGGTTCCCTGGCGGAATACACCGCCGTGGAAGAGAAATTGCTGGCTCTTAAGCCCAAGAGTCTGGATTTCGCTCAGGCTGCTGCGCTCCCTCTCGCAATCGAGACGGCTTATGAAGGTCTGGAGAGAACTGGGTTCTCTTCTGGGAAATCGATTCTGGTCCTCAATGGCGCTGGTGGTGTTGGAAGCCTTGTGATTCAGGTTAGAATTGTTGATAATCAATGTTTGTATAACTTGCATTTCTCTGAAAAGGGTCTTGAGGGTTTGTTGATTGGCCAATAATATATGCAGCTGGCGAAGCAAGTGTTTGGAGCATCAAGAGTTGCAGCCACTGCCAGCACAGGGAAGCTGGAGTTCATCAAGAGCTTGGGAGTCGATTTGCCTATAGACTACACCAAGGAGAACTTCGAAGACTTGCCTGAAAAGTTTGATGTGGTCTATGATGCCATTGGTGAGTTCAAACTTCTGCTCCTGTATATGCTGGTTGGTTGTTTGAAACAATGACTGCTTGGTAGATTTTGATCAATTGGGGTTCCTGAAGAAATGGGTACTGGTGGTGTTTTTGCAGGGCAATGTGATAAGGCGGTGAAAGCTATAAAAGAAGGAGGAAGCGTGGTGGCTTTGACCGGAGCGGTGACGCCTCCAGGTTTCAGATTTGTGGTCACTTCCAATGGAGAGGTTCTAAAGAAACTCAACCCTTATCTGGAGAGTGGCAAGGTGAAAGCACTGATTGATCCCAAAGGACCATTCCCGTTTTCTCAGGTTGTCGAGGCTTTCTCCTACATTGAAACTGGAAAAGCTACTGGGAAAGTAGTAGTCTATCCAATTCCATGAGAAAGTAAGTTAACCAAGCAACGAGGGACTGTTCTGGATGTTCACTTGTTTTATTTATGGTAAACTGTGCTTCGAAGAGTAAGAGTAAATCAGCTGTATAAAAACAGAATGTACGAGGCTTCTGATGTAAAAAGAGATTGATTTGATTCTGAGCTTGAACATGAGGAGATTGTTTTAGTTTCCAGCTCAAGTATACAGATTTCTTGATGGACAGAATGAGCAAAGCATGCAGTGCAGTCACTGTTTGAAAGCTTAGATTACAGATATGTATGGAACCAAAAAACGAAAACTCAATTATTCTTCAGCAGAAACACAGAGCAAAGCAAGGCATGCAGTCACTGTTACTGTTTGGAAGTTTGGACCTTGACATTGTCCTGAGGTTATTCTTCAGCACATTTACAACTAAACATTACTGGAATGTAAGGGAACAACAACCGTGTTTTTGCAGGAAATGGAAGGGGCTTCAGACAGAGATGGTAGGGGAGATTTTGAAGTCAAGGTCCCATAGCGTGAAACATCCATCGACAAAATCGTAGTGTCCACCTTTGAGCGCCAGAGTTTTCTTGACCACGGCCTCTCTGACGAAAGGATATGTCAGTAAGTTTCCAAGTGATATATTCACAGCCTCCTGTATACAAGTTCAGTGATGATAACAACTATTAGCACTGCAATAATGTACGCATAACCAGTAATCACAGACAGGGATGTTGATGTGTAATTTGTAACTTGCCTTCTCACAGTGGAAGCACTGCTCATCAAAACTCATGTCGCTGCAGTCCGTTTTCACCTTAGACCTCGCGTTGGAACAGATTTTTACCCATTGCTCAATGAAGTCACTGCAGTATTTATTGACATGGAAGGTTAATGCAAATTTTACAACACAGCATATTAGCATATCCTTTCATGCTAGTCCTGAATCTCCCACACTTACAAGAGCTCATACCATTGCGGGAATATAATTCTATGATGGGGGAATGGAGCTAAAGGGGCAAAAGAAAGGTAGAATTGACAGAAAGGGCAAGCATTCCACCCGCATCTCAATTCAACTGTGAGTCAAGTTTCCAATTGGTCACATATATCCATAGCCTGAGATTCTCAAAGTGCCATCTGGTTGTTCTATATCAAAAGTAGCCCTATTCCTGATCAGCTTTATCTTTTTTTGCCCTTTTGAGATGCCCTCATCTAGGTACCAAAGTAACAACTAGACAAAAGGCAGTTTGATTATACCCTCTACAGCTCTCTGGAACATCGGTCAAGCGAAGAAGGAATATTTAGGCTAGCTTTTTTACTATAATCTTTACAGTGCTTATCACTCTAATCTTTACTCACCAGCTTTTTTAACTTTGATCCGTAGTTATATAGGGTACTAATCTCATTATTAAAACAGACTTGCCTTGAAGTGGAGCCGTCATCAGGGAGACTCATAAGCCCCTTGATCCCTCCACAGCGGCTGTGTCCAATGACTACAATATTCTCCACCTGCACACCACCATAACCAAACCATGATTAAAGAAATAAAAGCAAAATCCCACAGCAGTAAACTTCAGTTATCATATCAGTAACACAATGAAAACTTCTGTTATCATATCAGTAACCACAAAATAAAAAAAGGAGAAAAGCTTCCAACTTTGCAGGTTTCGGATCCCAATATTCTATCCCTTTGCTGTGTACACGACAAATGAAACTGTTACCTCCTATCTAAAACAGGGTAGTGGGTGATGTGTAATAACATTGTAAACCGCGATAGGTTTTCAAGCCCATATCTCAGTTCAGTGGGAAAGGGCTAGAATTGCAGATATCATACACAGTATCACCATGGATGGATTAGTGTTGCAGGGGAATGGCATAATTGCCCCACCCTCCACTATTACCTGGTGGAATACTGCTGACTACACAGCAGCCCATTGCCATCGAAAGTGATAAGAAAAAGGTAGACGCGGAAAGTAAAAGCTAAGATAGAGTCGTCACCCACCTTCAAATGCAGCACCGCATATTCAATGGCCGCCCCGACGCCAGAGTACTTGGTCTGTGTGCATACATAACAAACACCCCAGGATCAGCATTCAGCAACAGCACCATAACTCACAAAATTAACAACTTTGGGTATTACAGGATAAGGCACTGGACCGCGTTGGGTAAAACTAGAGTCTAAGATGGAAAGAGAAGGACCAACCAGGTCATATGGCGGGACCATATTGGCAATGTTGCGAACCATAAAAGCCTCCCCTGGTTGGAAATCCAGGATTTGCGATGGACACACCCTGGAATCTGAGCACGCGAATACCATAAACTGCAGCAAGCATTCCACATTCCCCCAACCCAGCACTCAAAATTCAGTTCATTTTAAAATGTCTTAACGAATCTGGGCAATAAGGCTGTAAAAGGAGATAGCAACAAACCTTCGGCCATTGTCCTTTCTTTAGTGACTCAAAAAGATCAGGGTTCTTCCTGTAACATATAAGAAATTGTGTAAAAAGTAGAGAAATTAGCTTTCATTATTATCATTCAATTAAAAAAAAAATCTCAAAGGGAAAAGTCTGTTTGCTTATCAGTTTATCAGGTAGGTGGACAGAAGAAAGAACCTTCTTCTTTAATGTGGCAGCAGGCCAGGTAAAGCCTGGCTGACACAGTAAAAAGAAGTTTTTTTCTTCTTTTTCTTTTATCGTACAAGAGAGGACAGACGGACGGGGGAGTTAAAAGGTAATTTCGCAAGGAACGGAAGGATCAAAGAGTATATTCCTCTTGGTTTTGAGAGAGGGAAAGTTGCAAAAGCATACTCATATTTCTCAGTCTTGAAGGTTTGGAACCCAGTTTTGAGCCTCTGGACGGGGTCGAAACCGGTGGAGCTGGCGGCCTCCAGCTCAGCCGTTAACTGCTTGATTTTTGCGGCGGCGACGCTCCCGAGGCCAGCTTTCTCACTGCCAGGAAACAAAAAGGACACACCAGATCGATCAGGCACAGAAACTAACGTAAGAGAGACAACAAAAAAAAAACCCCCCGCCTGACAAAAGTGATCCACTCCGCCGGCGCGAAAATCGGGCGGCGACCGCATTTCCTTCCGTCCGGCAGAGGGCCGGGGATAGTCAACAGTCTGGCTCCGTCCAGCGGCTAAAATTGAACCGCGTGGAAACAGTCGGTTTGAATTATTGCTCATTAAAAATTAATTCCGGATTTTGATATCTCCTCTTTCTTTCTTTCTTTGTCCGTATTGTTATCTTTTTTTGCCCAATTTGGGACAAGAAAAAGGGGGAAGGGGGCCGCGATTCCTCCGTACGCCTGCTACTTCCCTGGCTGGATCCGATTTTGTCGATGAAACTGTGGAATGATGCAGAGGACCAGCAGACAAATCGAAAAAAATTTCAATAGCGATGGAGGTTAATCACCTGAGAAGAGTGGTCAAACCATCAATGGCTGCCTGGTATGAATCGTCGGCCATTTCTTCCTTCTGCACGCACACAATAGACACAAGAGAATTAAACAGCTGTCATCTCACATCCTGCTCTGGAATTTCATTTTCGAAAACCAATAACAATCAAGCGACGAAGAAAACTAATAAAATGATCAAACAATTAAACAAAAGGGACAAGGGCCGTAGTAGTTAGTTAGGGGGAAGAACAGGTGGAGTGTGGGTGTGCTGAATTGCAAAGCCAGAGAAACAAAAACAGAGCTGGCTGAATTGGGAGATGGTTTGGTTTCTGCATAAAATTTGGATCCATGGCTGTCTGCAAATAGTTCAGGGAATTGAAGCTGAGATTGAGGATACCGACCTCTTCTTCTTCTGTGCTGAGGAAAGGTTTGTGGTTTGGGGAGGAAGACAGATCGAGTGACAGAAGGAGGAGAAAGTGGTGGGGGAATTAAATGGGGGAAAAATCCTTCCTTAATAACCTCGCAGTCTGGCTGCCTTGCCCTTGTCTACTGGTATGATATTGTCTTTGTTAATGGAAGAGCTTTCCAATTTTGGCTGACGTGGATTGTTTAAAAATAATACAGAATTAATTAATTTTAGCTACAAGAGCTGCTTCTTTGTTCCTTCCAGCGAGAAGAGAGGAGGTCAGTCAGTCACGCCCCACGATTGCCGCCCTTGCCCCTTCCTGCTTCATTTTTATACTTTTATATATATATATATATAGTTTCAAGTTCAACCCTTTCAAGCACTGTAATTAAGGACAAAATCGTGACAGCCTGCATCGCGCTCCAACTTTGTTGGATCATGTTTAACTAGGCACGATTAACCGGGCACAAAGATGTATGTCAGATCCAACCTTTTCAGCCACTCCGTTTATTACACGTGAAAAAGGAGAGACCAAAACCGTTACTGCCAATAAATTCTTCTAGGGGGTCGTTTAAAGTGTCATAATAAGAAGCATTAACGATCGGGGTTGATGGTAGATTGATCAGAAATTTGATTTTGTTATGGGTAAAACAAGCGCGATGGAAAGGAAGAACGTGGGAAATCGGCACCTCGCATCCTTACAAACTAACTAATCACTCCTCATGTTGTTAGCTGATGACGACACTTATGGTATGTAGCGTCTAATAAATAGACCTCTCGCTCCGACGACCATTCATTCAACCTCTACCTAGCGTATTGGGTGATCGACGATGCTTTTTGTCAAATAGACTTACTACAGCTTTTTCGTAGCTAGGAACCCTCTTTCCTTCCTCCCCTCCCCTCCCCCCTCTATGGTTCCAGATTCTCGTACTTAGACTTTTACTCGATGCTTAGGGTTTTGGATACATCCCTTGGTGACAACATCAAGGGAAAATAAGAAGGCCCATATATGGCATCTCAAACGATCTTGACCGAGGTTCTGGGCTGGGCCCTCAGCTCGTCAGATTCCCAATTCAAAGATTGAATCAATCGACTCCGTATGCAACTCTAAAAGCAATGCGTACCAGCACAACACGTATGCGAGTACATCTACGAATTCCGCAAAAACAGCTCGCTTTAGCGCGTCTGTTATTGAGACGAGAACTAAGCTCTGCATCTTGAATCTTTGATTATGACATCACAAATAAAGACTTGGGAGAATTTCATGTAACTTCCAATGATGGTGCTAATTACAAGTTTACAACATTCACATCCTGAGACTGTGGATGGAAACGGGGTATGGGCCTGCCGGGATGGATGAAAAGTCAATGGGCCGGCCGTCCATCTATGACCATGACCATGACCATGACCATGTGCACCCAACTCAATAATTCCCCAAAAGAAAACACAAATTTGGATGGCATCAAAATTATTAAGTTCCAGATAAGTCAAACACAAGAATAGAAGAAGAAGAAGAAGAAGAAGAAGAAGAAGAAGAAGGTACTTTCCAATATCGAGAAGCCAGAACTGGAAAGGCCCTCCTCAAGATTTGAAAGAGCAATGTGTTAATTGTTTCCAATATTTTAAACATTAATATAAACATTTAATTTACATAATTTTTGCATATGGATTTTGTTTTCTGGCCATCCAAGTCAAAGGATAGGGTGGGAATGGGAGGGTTAGCTGATGTATATTAATTAATTTATTATTATTGTATAATAATATGTGCTACTCTTAGCTGGACAAGGACCTCACTAATTGAAATGAAACACATGTAGACCATACTGTCATATTCTTATATTCTTATTCCATTTGCTCACTTTTAGACCCATAACTTAACTCAAAATACTATATGACCCATTCCGGAAATGTTACTTTGGAATCAAGTTAAAGTGAAATAACAGAGGAATGTGGAAAACTTAGAAACAACTTACCGTGACGTCTCCTTTGCAGCAACATAACATCCCAAAATTTCCAGGCATTGTTTGAATTTCTCAATTTGATCGTTTATATAGCTCGGTCCTGTCAATACATAACAACAATGTTACATCTTAAAGAAAAATTAATATTATCGATAGGACCAGAGAGGCAGAGACAAGACATTACAAATCCTACATATATATTTCCTTTGACATTTTAATTAGTTTTTAGGCTCAAGATGTAAAGGATATAAAAATTAATGCGGATTGATGACTAAAACAACAATCCTTAATATTAGTAATTATTTTAATTAGGTTTGCCGAACCCAATAAGCCAAACATTATTTCGGTCCAACAACATGCCGCTGTCGTCCTTCGGCCTTTCCCTTGGCAACGCAATAGGGACAGACGACTCCTAACTAACTATCGGCCATTCCAACACCCAGAAAAACGGAAATCCATCATTAATTAATAACTGAAAAGCCACCAAATTTGCTGCATTGGCCGCGAATTATCTACAGGAGTGAAAATTACCCATATGCATAATAAGTTAATAATTACCAGACAAGTGAAGTGGAGAGCCAGCCCAACAGCCTACCTGCAACTCTTCTTCTTCCCCTCCTCCTCCTTCTCCTACTTTAATGGAGCAGAGCTCGTTCTATAGTTTGTTTTAATGGAGAAGAAAGAATGAACAAGAAGATGCTGAATATTTTCTAAATGGAGGAATCCGAAAGGAAAGAGAATGAGACCAAAAGGGTCAGAATGGGACCAAACTGGAACTGGATATGGATGCAACTGTGAGGGAGAGACGGGTCCATACAAAATTTTGGAGGTGGTGGTAGTATTGATTGACATGTAAAAACAACATAGAATTTTAGACTAGTAAGAGGCACAAATGAAATGAGAGAACCCAAATGGATGAGATGAGGGTAACAAAGATAACTTCAATGGACCTCATTTTTTGAGGTGTTTAACAAACCGTATCCCTATCTACCCCATTCCTTCCTATATTGAATTTGCTGGCTCTCTTGCTACCCAAGTCTCCCTTTCCCTTCCCATCCCATGGCTCCACTTAACTATACCACTTCTTAAAACTATATCCACTACTACGGCTGAGCCCGAAACTCGATTCACTCGTGTCACTAGAACCGAGTCAATCCGAAAACTCGAGCAAAATTTAATCAAATTGATGGATATGGGTTGTGGAGTAAAGATCCGGTGATTTTTGGATTGGTTATGAGTTGGGCTTCTAAAACCCGACCAACTCAAATCAACCAAATTGCTCTTGTAATGAATTAGTAAACTGAGAACAAAATCTACACATAATATAATACGCCGAAGGGAAAAACGAGAGCCCCATTTCAAATTTCCTGCAACGAGAGTAAATGTAGGAAGGACATTTTGGTCTTCACAATTACTTTTTTTTTATAATACGCCGAAGGGAAAAACGGGAGCCCCATTTCAAATTTCCTGCAACGAGAGTGAATGTAGGAAGGACATTTTGGTCTTCACAATTACTTTTTTTTATTCATTAAAAAGATACGTACTAGGATTTGAACCATGACCATTTTAAAGAAAAGCAAGGATCATAACCAATCACACTAAGTACATTCATTGTACATTTTTAAATTAAAAACATATAATAGCAGGGAGAAAAACTCTTCCCCCATTTCAAATTCCCTGCTCCAGGAGCATTTGTAGGAAAGGTAGAATAGAGAGTGTCAATTTTTTTCTATTTCCTCTGTGGAACGGGCCAACTTACCGTACACATGCGGATTTAAACGGGTCCAGGATTGTCAATTTTTTTCTTTAAGCCCTTTTATTTCTCCGTGGTGATAAAATATATATGAAAAGGCAAAAACAATACTTCTTTTTATTGCTAAAAATAAAAAATTTAACAATAAACTAATGCATCATATTTAATGGGCTAACCGCTTACCATAAAATAAAAGAGTTGAATAGGTCTGACCTATACGGGATTTGCCCATCAAGTAAAACAAATGAACATCATTGGTTTGACATTCTAAAACAAGCTATTTTCTCTGGCATAATATATATTATACTATTATTTTATATCTTAGTGGCTAAAATATAATGTATTTTAAAGTTATTCAATGGTTCATCCTCGACCAACCCAATTAGTCCAATTTTAATCATTTCAAATATATATTATATAATTATTTGATATCATAATATTCAAATTATAGTGTATTTTATAGGGAATCGTTTGGTATTTGTTAGTAAAAAACTAAACAGAAAGATATATTTGGTTATTTTAAACATTAAAACGATCCTAAACATTTTTAGTTCCTTTTGAATTTATATGGTTTTATTCCCAAATAAGTGATGTGCAAATGGCGAATTGCAGTCATCTCTTTTCTTTCACTATTTTTTATTTTCAAATAGAAAGTTTAAAAGTAAAGAATAATTAGAATTTGGCATAAGTCGGTCAAACAGGCTGAATTTCAAGTTGTGGTCCGTTTTGATCAAGTCTAATTTATAATTTATAATTTCAAACAGGTGAGTCCGTGTTTACCACCATTTTCTAGGGATACGACAACGCCGGTTCCTATCCCAAATCGTGTTGTTCGTTCTTGATTTCCTTAGATTTTATCATGGTCTGACAAAAACCAGAAAGCACAATGACGACAAGATGAAAGTTTTATAAAGCAAATTAATCGGCCAACGGGCCGAGTAAAAGCTAGCAACGATGGTGAGATGCTCATTTCCCGAAAACCGACGGGATAGGCGATTTTTTATTCGATTTTATGGAATTCGGTTTCTATAAAACTTACTCCACCTCATCTTATTACCAGAAACAATATTGTTTCATAAGGTAACATGTACTTGATGTTGGGTCATAAGGCCGATTTTTGATTCGTTGCATCATTCATGTCTCTTTCCTGCTAAAATTCACTATTTTTATCACGTGTTTCCCAAAAAAACTATACAACAATATGTTATACACCCCATTACATTATCAAATTTCATACCTCATCTTCCTCCGGCCAACTGGCCGGGGCCACACTAGTAATCTTTATGACTTTATTGACATGCCTATGCTCAATTTACTAATAAAAAAGTTAGTATTCTCTCTCCTACCATATTTGGGGTTTAGGTTAAAATGTACGTTTTCAATAAGATTCATTGAAATCAAAACATTGGCAATGTCACGCGGTCATCTTACTTTTTGCTTCAAAAAGTGAGTAACATGCATCAGTACAAGTTGATCTTTACTATAACGAAAGATGAAGATTCAATCTTCACTTCTCATCGCTGTAGAATTGAGTGCATCACCTAGAAAAGTCGTTGCATTGGTATCGGGTTGGGTTTTCATTTGACCTGATGTTTTGAGATGATGTTCTTCTTGTTTATAAGCGTTGGAAAATATGCTCAGATTCTTTGTTATATTGGGTTGTGTTAGACTTGGTTTTTACTCTAACCCGGATTAATATGTGGCTAGTTTGGTCTTGTTGTAATTTTTGTAAAAGCAGTTTCTAACTGAAACTTTTTGAAAAGTACTTAAAAAAAGACAGTTGAGTATTTGGTTGAATAAGAGGTTATGTAAAGTTACTATAAATGATTTATAATATAAAATATGAATAAAAATTATAAACTATAAAAATTATTCAAAATAGATCTTAATTATTTCTAAACAACGTTTCGCAAAAGCTCTAAATCGGAGCTTCTACTTTTATGTTATACAAAAGCACTTTTCAGTTTTTCAAATCCCGAACTTTTACAGGTGTTGACCCTACTTCAGCTTTTGAAACTAAAAAGAATTTCTAAAAGTCGGATAAAACATAGACATGATCTTGTCGGGTCGCAATTTTATTGGGTGAGTTGGGGTTTCATGATATGCAAACCATGATATATAAAATTGCATAATAAAACCTTACCGGCTCATATACACCCTTGTCCAATAATAAACCTTACCCAAAAGTTGGAAAAGGTGACAAATTAGGATGACATGAAACCTTACCTGAAAGTTTAACAAAGAAAGTGACAAATTAGAATGACATGATTAACGATATAATTTGTGCCATTTTTAGAGGTTGGACTATGGAAATAATTTGTGCCATTTTTATCACGGATAAATGACACCTTTGGTCAATAGGTTTACTAAAATATATCATGTTTAGTAACTGAAAAAATTTAATATCAATGTTAGTCACTCGAATTAGTAAAACGGTCCACGTTTAGTCACTCTCTGTTAGTCTCCTTTAACACCGTTAGTCAAATGCTTAGGTGGCTAATAGAAGTGTTGACTCACCCTTTTTTAACTTGCCACATCACCAAATCCGACCCACCACATCACTCAACCCACCATGTCATCTTTTCCAGCCCAATTCTTAAACCCAACCAATCTATAAACCCAACCATCTATCCCTCTCTCTCTCTCTTCTTCGCCTGTTCCTCTCTCCTCTTCAACCTTGCATCAAAATCAGACAGCTCGCCAGATCTCCTCCTCTTCTCCATTCCACCAACGAAGAATGCGCTCACCGGAAAACCCTAAGAAAAAGAATCACTCTAAATCCTCCTCAAAACTAGGGCTGTCATTTCGGTTGCCGGTTAGCGGCTAACGGCCGGGCTAACCGTTAACCGCTGGTTAGCGGCTAACCGAAAACCGAGGAATACGTGCATCGGTCGGTGGCCAGTATAGATGAGTGGTTCGTTGGCTAGCCGATAAACTAAATCTGGTTAACCGGCTAACCGACGCAACCGACCGACAAGAGACGGCGCCGTTTTGCCAGCAGCAGATCTAAAAGACTAAAACCCTACCTTCGTCTTCTTCGACTCACAACAACCGCCTCCTCCGCCCCTCCCAACGTGACGATCCAATCCCCGTTGTCTCCTCGCGTTCCACCGCCGACCACCGCCTTCCCGAGACGCCGCCGAGACGTCGCAGGGCCGCCGAAACCTTTGAACTTCCTGCCTCGCGCGACAGGCCTCCTTCCTGCCAACATCTTCTCGTCGGTGCTAGGTCTCCGAGACCCACTCCTTCACCTTCTCCCTGCTCCTCGTCCTCCTCCCCCGCCGGCGCTAGGTCTCTTGTCTCCGAGACCCCTCCTCCGCCTTCTCCCTGCCCCGTCGGCACCTTGTCAATCTCCGTCCGTCTCTGCAGATCTATTCATCCATGGACAAAGAAGGAGAGAGAAGGAGAAGGAGTTTGTTATGATGGGTGTGAAATGGTGGAGGAAGGAAGGAGAGAGAAGGAGATAAGGATTGACCTGGTATAGATTTTTTTTAATTAATTTTTATTGTTTTTTTTAGAAAAGGAAGGTTTTTCGATTGACTGGCTAACCGATTCTAAATTCGAAACCGATCGATCGGTTGGTCGGCTAACCGTGACCTCCCTCACGGTAGGTGGTCGGCACCTATAGGGGATGGCTCGGTTTAACCATTAATCGAGTTTCCAGTTTTCGGTTAAACCGAAACCGACCTACTGCCACCCCTACCATCAAAACCATCCTTTTTCAATTTGGTTTTTCTTCTGTGCGAATTCAAAATTTCGTTTGTGTTTCTATTTCCGCATCTAAACTATGCATTGTGTTTAGATATGACAGATCTGTGAACCTTTCGTTTGTGTATGTAATGAAGGACCCGTGGATTCAGATTCGTGACCTTCAGGGACCAGCAGGCAATGAAGGACGCGATCGAAGGGATTAACGGCCAGAATCTCGACGGTCGTAACATCACCGTCAACGAGGCTCAGTCCCGGTCTGGTGGCGGTGGTTTCAGGAATGGTGGACCACGCGAAGGCGGCGGCGGCGACGGATACAGCCGTGTAACGGTGGCTACGACGGCGGTGGATACGGTGGTGTTCGGGACCGCAGTTATGGCGGTGGTGGTTACGGAGGCGGCGGTGATGGCGATTCCCGCTACTCTTCCAGGGGCGGTGATGCCTCGGACGGAAACTGGAGGAGCTAGATGGCGGGATTTATAGATTAGGGGAAATGTGGAAGGTGTCATGTTTTTTGGATTACTGTCTTAGTTGCTTACTTGCTTGTCCAAGTTATGGTTCTTGTTCAATCTGCGTTCGTCATATTGGGGTTTTTTTACGTTGTGTCTGATTAGAGGTGGTAATTTCAATCCAATCCACCAATCTAATCCATCAATCCATTAAAAATATCCACTTAATTCAATCCATTTAAATCCAATCCATTTTATCCAAATCCAATTGGATTGGTGGATTCATGGATTGGATCCATGGAGCATTGGCAAATTACGGTTTAGTACCTATAATTTTTATTTTTTACATTTTGGTACCTAAAATTTATATTTTATGCGAAAATATCATTCGAAAATTACGTTTTGGTACCTAAAATTTTTCATTATGACATTTTAGTACCTAAACTTTTTACATTTTACATATTGGTCCTTGGTTGAGGATGTCATTTGGATTCATGGATAATCCACCAATCCACTTGATCCAATCCATGAATCCACCAATCCATTTGATCCATGGATCCACCAATCCAATCCACCAATCCAATCCATTTGCCACCTCTATGTCTGATTTTGATGTAAGGTTGAATAGGAGAGAGGAAAAGGCAAAGAGGAGAGAGAGGGATAGATGGTTCGGTTCATAGGTTGGCTGGATTTAAGGATTGGGTTGGAAAAGATGACATGGCCGGTGAGGTTTGGTGATGTGGCGGGTTACAAAAGGGGTGAGTCAGCACTTCTATTAGTCATCTAAGCATTTGACTAACGGTGATGAGACTAACAGAGAGTGATTAAACGTGAACCGTTTTACTAATTCGAGTGACTAACATTAATATTAACTTTTTTCAGTGACTAAACATGACATATTTTAATAAATCTAGTGACCAAACGTGGCATTTACCCTTTTTACCACCTATCTGATGGGATGAGAACAAGGCATGCAGCGGCCTACAAGTAAATTGGACTCAGGCCCATGTTTTGGCCCATATCGAGCCATCCCGACCCTCGAATCGCAACAGGCCCACGGGGGCAGATGGAATGAAAAGCTCACAAGCCACAAGCCAGTTCGGTGCTGGCCATTGTCAACTTATCTGATAAACAATCAGAGCTCCAGTTCCCTCCATGAACGGCCACTTGCCCATCCTAGTCAGATTCCTGGTCCTGGAGGTCGACGATTATCTCAAAGACGTCACGCTTCCATTAACTGCACTTCTCCGTTCCCACGACTGTGCGTCTGTGCCCCCTTCTTTATTCTCCTCACTCAGTTGCCTGCCTTTTCCGCTCTCTTACCTTCCATGTTTTGATCCCAACCCGCGCCGAAAGGGCATTTGGTAATTGGAAATGCAGTTGCAGAGCCATTAACAGGTAATCTCAAGTCTCATGGTGAATAGTTCATTCCCAGTTACCTAGCTCTGCAACTTTCCCATTTTCATAAAGTTGGATACTTCTGATGAACAAGCTTGTGGGGGTTTCTTTCTCTAATTGTTTTCTAGTATCTTTTCACTTTTCTCGGTAGGAAGTGCATAAAGCTGGTTCCTTTACTTTGGATTTTAAAAATAGTGGTTCAACCGGAAAGGAAGGAATTCTTATGGGGATCACAGCTGATATCATTCTTATGCTTTGTCTTTTATCTGTGTGGGTTGTCAAGAAATGAACTCTATTTTTGTCTTTGACGATGGATCCGAGTACTGCACACCAATTGTTTGCTGAAATTCTCCTTTCAGAAATTGGTGTTACCATCCTTCATTCACTGACTGGTTTCTTCTTTGATCCTCTCAATTTAGCCATAGGACATGCACACGCTTTGCTGAGCCAATGTTGTGAATGAAGATATAAACTAGGCTTACCATCCTTTTGGCCTTCAATGGATTCTGGCACTTGCTTGTGTAGACACAATTCGAGGCCTCGTAGCCTTGTCCACCAGATTAAAGTCCATGCTGTAACTCAATCCTCTCCTTCCCAAATACTCTCGTGCGTTGAGAAAGCGCCCAAATATGCTTGCATTTCACTTGTGCCAACTGCTGATGATTCAGACAGTGCCTCAAGCAGTCAGCAAGCAGGATCGAATTGTCTTCGTGATGTCCATATTGTGAGTTCCATATGTTCTGTAAATCTGTTCCTGCATTAGCCATTACTTAGTAATGTTCTCTAGGAGTGTGTTGTTACATATTGAGTTGACTGAATGATAAGGGAATGAAAAAATGTTTTTTTGTGTGTGGATAGTCAGCACGGTTGATGGAGGATTTCCTTGAGCTGGCTAAACAAAATACAGACAAGGATCTTGAGACATGTGGGGTTCTTGGTGCTTTCCTTGTAAGATTCCTGCTTACTTCAGTGTCTTAAACTTAAAGTACCAGTCTTCAATTGTGCTAGACCTCCTATGTTTAGATGTAACTAATGCCTGTGACTTTGATAGTTGACTCTAGTTTAATGATACTTGATTGAATCAGGAAAGCGGGACCTATTACGTCACCACTCTGATCATACCCAAGCAAGAGTCCACTTCCAACTCCGTGAGTTCCTTTGCGTCCTTTGTACACATTGTAACTGCATTGAAATAAGTTACTTGCTTTGAAATTTTACAGGGTTTGATCTATTTACAATCTTGAAATAAAATAAAATGAAAACAGTGTGAGGCAAAAAGGGAGGAGGAATACTTTACAATACAGAACGAACGATCTCTTTCCCCAGTTGGATGGATCCATGTATGTCATTTACTTCTTCCCTTTTGTCATGATACTTCACTTTTTTAAAAGAAAAAGGGAGTTTGTCACAGAAATGCATGATTCGTGCCCTTCCCTTTGTTCACAGACACATCCTTCTCAGAGTTGTTTTATGTCATCAATTGACTTGCACACTCATTACTCGTATCAGGTAGACATCCCTTGAGCTCTTGGTTTTGGTGTATATATATTGAACTGGTTAATCAATGTTTGGATCGTTCCCTATGTGTTGGTACGAGTTGTTCTTCTTTGTTTCTTCGTCCGATAACAATCTGCTGGATGATGTTAAGTTGAACCAGTGTTTTTCTTTATTCTGCTTCTACCAGGCAATGATACCAGAAGCATTTGCCATTGTCATGGCTCCAACTGATACATCAAGGTCTGTGTATCCTGTATACGATAACGATATCTATCTAACCATGGCATGCTGCTATAAGTTCAGTTGCTCAAAAATCATTTTTGTCCTGTGGAATGTATTCAGGAGTTATGGGATATTCCGGCTATCTAATCCAGGAGGGATGAGCGTGGTGGGGCAATGCCCAGAGATGGGATTCCACACTCATGAAGAACCAGAAGATGGGAGCCCCATTTACGAGCACTGCTCTAACGTATACACCAACTCCAATCTGAGGTTTGAAATATTTGACTTGCGATAATAATCATTCTGAGACGACAGCAGCATAAACATGTACAGCACACGGTGCCAAATATATCAGTCAGCTTAAGAACAATGGACTTCTGTCCTGATTTTCGTTTGAATCCGAGATCCTTCAAATCATTGGTAGGGAACTACTACTATTACTACCACCTGCTGTGTGTCTTCTGGACATATAATAATATGATGGAAATGGCAGAAGCTGGAATTGATTTCATTCATCTCATGTAATCTAAAATCCAAGGCTGGTCTCATCTTTTGCTGCAATGTTCACGATTCCAGCTTCAGCTCATTTGTATATCTATCTAGACTGGTTCAACCAGTTGTTGTTAAGTTTGCTCTCCTGGCAGATAAATTAGCATACCGCCAAGATTTCGCCCTTGTGTTTCATCTATTGTTCTTACTATGTCCACCATGGCTAGATAGATATTTCCAAAAGACTTGGTCTGTTTGTTGGAATCATAGGATTGAACGCATCATCTTTAATTCCCAAAGCTGAATGATTCAAATCAATGCAAGTCCAGCCTGGAAATAGGAAGAGGGCCGTGAGAAACCAACTTGCTCTGTTTTTTTTGTTTCTTTCCTAAAAGATGCTGTAGTTGGCACAACCATCCAAAACCCATGACAGCACCAGTGGCGCAAAAAACAGGGAACCTGGTATTGCCGGGTCGTGGTGGAGCTCCTTAGAAACGCAGGAATCATTTTTCTGAAACGAAATCACCCAACCCACGACCACACAATAGAATAACACGGTTAGGATCCAAGGTAGTTGTCAATTAATTAATGCTCGAGATTGGATTAATGTTGGAAGAAGATACAACTAATTATCCCGAATCTGGAATTCAAACCAACGAATATTCACTGCTGAAAATTCCTGTCTATGCTCTCTGGTTCCAACTAATTCTCAGAACTGTCTGGTTCCAACTCTCTGAAAATTCATATCTATGCTGCAGAGTGTAGTTTCCTTCTCTTTTCCTAGCAAAACTGAGAATTTTCATGGGCGAGACCAGAATGTTTTAAGTTTGTTGCCATTGCATAGCAGAATCCATCCCGTTCAAGCATTGCCGGAAATGGGTAGTAGAGCAAAGCATTAAAGCATGAATCTTTCTGGTTAGTTGAGGACAAACAAGTTTGCCGGTACACCGGCGGGAATTAATAAATTGACCCTAAGAAAGGGCCTTTTCGTTAAATAAACAACTGTTAACTTCTTTACACATAGAATATCTGATCTGAGCAGACTTGTGGATGCATATACTAATCACAAATAATCCGCCCAGGAAGTTGTAAAATCTCTTTACATAGCAGATGATGAAGAAGAAGAAGAAGAACTAAATAACCAATCAATCAATCAAAGTGTTAATGATGATGATTTGAAGGAGACTGCTACGAACTAGCTAGCTTAACTTAGCAGGAGTAATTGGCTCTAATAGGGATGAACATTTTTGCTCAACCCATTGACGCTGGCGAAGAATCCGACTTGCTTGTACGTCAGGTACGACGCCCTCTTACCACTCTTCTCTTCCTGCTTCCTCCTCGCGTATATCTTCTCAAACGCCGACGTTTCCACCTTATTCTTCTTCTTCGACGCCGTGGTGGCGGTTTTCTTCGCCGGAGCCTTGCCGCTCCTGTCCTCCTCCGCCTTTTGGGCCTTACTCCCGCTCGCTGCCTCGGGATTGTGGTGACCGTGGTGGTGGGGGAGAAAGGCGAATTTGTCCTTGCCGTCGCTGTTGCTGCGGAGGACGAGCTCCCTGAACCTCCGGAGCTTGGAGAAGCCGGTGGAGTTGCTCTTCTTGCAGACGTCCGGCGACGGGTCTACCACCGCCGCGGCGGAGGGTTTCCCCCTCCACTCGCAGAAGGGTCCCTCCGGCTGGACGGCGGGAGCGGCGTCGGCGTCGGGGAGGAGTAGATCCCGGTTGAATAGGGGGAAAATCGGGCGGATCTGGCCGTTGAGGAACGCTTCCTCGGCGGAAATCAAGGAATCCTCGCCGAATGCTCTGGAGAAACTGAATTCATCCTCCTCCTCATCTTCTCCTTCCTCCTCCTCATCAATTTCTCCATCCAATTCCAATAATTCCTCATCTCCATCTCGATTCTCTTCTTCTGCTACGGCTGCGTGACTCTGTAACTTGACCTCTTCTTGGTTGTCCTCCATGAGCTTGAGCTTGAGCCAGAAATCCTGGACGAATTTGCTGTCCGTGTCGGAGAAGTTGGGCTGCAGAGCCAAAACAGAGCTCATCTTCTGCATCTGCGCTGCTTTGATGGTGGCGTTGCGAAGGATTTCAATCAGCTGGATTTTGGTTCGGTGGAAGATAATCGGGGATTTTGGTTGATTGATTGTTTGGGATCGGGGTGGGTGTGCGTTGGAAAGGGATTATCGGAAATGAAAAGGGGATTTATAGGGTGAATAGAAAGAGAGAGGAAACGGGTGGGTGGGTGGGCGGGCGGCGGGTGGAAGTAATGAATCGGAAACTTCCCCCAACACCAATTGAATTCCTCAATTATTATTTCAGCCTTTGATTTTTCCTTTTGGGGGTCAATAACCAAAACGACGACATTTGCATTTTAATATCTAGTTATGCTTCAAGTTATATTTTATTATCTAACTGATAAAAGTAGCCTGATTAATGCGCGTGTTACTGTATTTATTTGTGCTTATTATGCCAAGTTTGAGGAGTTTTGGGTACTTTAAACTTTCCTATAAGACAAAAAGGGGATAAACATTGTTTAAGGTCTTTTTAATAGGAAAATTACCAAAGGGGTCATTTGAAATATTCTATTACACATTTGGTCCCGGGTCATTTTTTATTTATTTATCTTACTTCTGGGGCTATCTATTAAGGCTTGCAACTTGCAAGTCACTATTAGATAAGCTAACATCAATGATTAAGGGTGGTGGCGGGAAGAAAATTGGGACTGTTTGGAAAAACCTAATTTATCCTAAACAAAAAGGGGGGATTAGGACTAAGAGAGTTAGTTGGATGGTGAAATTAGCATACGAATATTGGTAGGAACCAATTTATCAAGTTATTGAGTTAAAAAAATCTAAGTACTTTTGCTTGGTGACATGACACACATGAGACATCTACCATAAGTAAGTCATTAATGGATTGGAAAACAGGACTAGAGCTTACAATCGTTATGAAAATTGATAAACTTCTCGGAGTTTGGGAAAGATCTGATCAAGATTGTGTTTTGGCACAAAGTTGTGTTAAGAATCCAGTTTTATTTCTAAAGTTTACCAAACACCTTTTGTCGTAGTTTATACTAAAATGAATTTAAATAATTAGAGAAATATTAAGCAAACCACTTTGACTTTGTAGTAGAGAAAAGAAAGGGGTAAATTGCAAGTTTGGTCACTAGAATTACTAAAAAAAAATTATGTTTGCCACTCAAATTAGTTTATTCCATTCATAGTCACTAAAATTAGTTGAACAGTTCAAGTTTGGTCACTCTCCGTTAGTCTCCGTTAACTTTCGCTGATGTGGCAGTCAACTCTAATAGTTGACCGTTAAATGTGTGATGTGGCATAAAAAAATTATTAAAAATAAATTTTAACCTTTTTTTATAATTTCCACTTCGTTTTCAAAATTAATAAAAAATTAATATTCTACCGGAGTCCTCCATCGAGAGCTTACCCTTAGCGAGAGAGAGAGAGAGAGCACAGAATCGAAGTTGTATGAATAGAGTCTGGAGAAGAAATGGAATCCCTACTCGCCGATCATCATCCGGCGCTCGCTCAGAAGCCGTTGGCTGCAGCCGGAGGGCGTAAATGGCGTCTCCGACGATCCTCCTTGCAAAACCCTTAAAATTTCCAGTCAGGAGAAGAGCTCCCCTCGTGTATTAGGTCCCCTGAGCATAACCGATGCCCAGGATGATGCTAGATCTAACCGGAAGATGGTTACAACGCTGTTATCCATCGATACAAAATCCTAAGTGTGTCGATCAGTCAATGGGGAACACGCCTTAGGAGATGCGGCGGAGAAGGAGGATATCAAACTCAGGGATTCGTTCGATTTGTAGAGTTTCAAAACTGAGGTTTGATGTGGGATTCTTTCAATTCGTAGAGTCAAAACAGTGGGATTTTTAATTCCTTATGCGCAGAAGGAGGCGGCGGCCACCTCGATCCGTGGGTAAAACCATGATCCTTAACTCTGAATCCTTTAATTTTCTCTTGCCGGCGCCAGCGACCAAGCTGCACTACTTCCGCCTCGGCCGCGTGAACCCGCCGCCGCTGTCATTAACCGAGAACGGCCATTAATGGATTGGTCTGGACATTTCGCCATCCATGCTTGGTATGTGTTGCTTGTCTTATTGGTTCTTATGATTATAGAGTTGGTATGCTTTTATATGCAGAAAGGTTTGAATCTTTTTGTCTCAAGTGCTATAGACATTGCAATGGAAAGAGAGGTTGAAGAAGATCTACACGACATGGGCAGCTATGCCCTTTGGTGAATATGAAGCTCTATCCATGGTTAGATTCGAGCTTCCCGCTTGCAGATGTGGAATCGGAGAAGGCGGTGGTGCTCCATGACGCAGAGCTCAAAGGGAAGTCGACCAGAAAATATAATTATAATTATAATATTATTTACATTTGATTTATTGTGTTAAACAGGTGGAAATTATAAAAAGTTTAAATTTTATTTTTTTAACAATCTTTTAATTGCCACATCACACATTTAACGGTCAACTATTAGAGTTGACTGCTACATCAGCGAAAGTTAACGGAGAGTGACCAAACTTGAACTGTTGAACTAGTTATATTGACCATAAATGGAATAAATTAATTTGAGTGGCATTAAACTATTTAGTAATTCCGGTTACCAAATTTGCAATTTAGCGGAAAAGAAAGGAAGGGAAGTTGCGGGCCGTTACAGAAAGGAGAAGGAAGAGAAGGCGCACAACTGCGTAAGCAGCCTGACGACGACCGAGGGAAGTGTGCTTTCTGGAACAAAACAAGAGAGGAAATTGCTCCGCTGCTGGCTGTGGACCTCTATTATTATTGTTATTATGCAAAATTTCACGATACTTTTGTTTGTTTATGTTTTGCTTAATTTAATTCCTCCACAAGCATCTTTAATTTTAGTTAGAGGCCGGATGCCTTCGTTTATCAATTTCTTAATTACAACACCTTAATTAATACGATGTGTTTTTGTTTTACCCTAGCTAGAGGGTTAAGCGTCCAAAGGCCAAATGAGGAGTTTCTGTGGAAGAAGTCCAAGGGATGAGAGGGTAAATGAGTCATGCATTGTGAATGCATAATAATATTATTATATATGTAATTAAGAAAAATGGTGTATTATAGTTTATATTGTTTGGTTTTGTACGAGTTATTGCAATATTCAAATAAATTATGTTATTTTTGTGATAAATGTCACTTTTACCATTTAATTTTAATTGTATAAGAAACAACACATATGAAAGGTTGAGGTCCTTGAGGATGTAGTTGAAATAAAATAAAAAAATCCAACAATCTCACCTAAAATTTGAGATGTAACTATCACTGATTATGAGTGATAGTTTTCATCACATCAAATAAAGAAAGCTTGTATAATTTGTGCAAAAAATTCAAAAGAATGATTTATTGTGAATAATACATGCAATATAACTATTTCAGCCAAATTATCATCAAACCAAGCGACATCTTCATTGTTTTCTTTCTCAGGATTGGTCGGATGCTCATAAAACGAGTGTTTCCAGGTATAAGTTGAATGTGTTAGTTTGTATCATGAAAGAATTTGTACGAAGATACGTATGTTCAATTTGAATTTGTATCATAATAATGTTAAGCTACATGTTAAGTTTGTATCCACTATTGTGTCGTCCCACATCCAATGTCGAAGCCACAACAATCCAAGGTGCGTCGACTCCACTACCTTGGCTTGCAACACACAAGAAAAAATTATTCGTAATAGGCTGCAACATGCAGCGAGGGGTTATCAAACTGCAAACCTTCCTCTTTTACTGGGTCGTATCTACGCCATTACGGTACAAGTCATTTTATATTTATATTTTTAGCATCAAATTTATTTATTATATGATCGACAATATCTAATATCTTAGTTTACATCAAATCAAGAAGCACGAGCTCGTCTGTTTTCTATTACCCATCCCAAAGACCCAAACCGACCTAATACGACCTCACCCTCGATTATCACCAGCCTATTATCTTCTACTCAAAGACCATGGTTCCAGAATTTCCACAAACCACAATCTCAATCTAGTAACTCCGTCATCCGTTCACTACTCGCTGCTCAATTTGCCCGTTTGCCCCTCGTCGCTCACTAGCGTATTTATCATCCGTTTAACGACAAAAAACCTCATTTTGCTTATGGGAAAATTCCTGCTGTGATGTGATGGCATTCCCCAACATCTGAGTCAGGTTGCCAACCGCCACTCGCCGTTCACAACAACCTACGCCACTGTTGGACCCACCTTTACAATGTTCCAGGGCACACCACTAGGGCTGGCAGCCGGTCGATTTCGGTTTAACCGAAAACGGAAATCTTGGTTATCGGTTAAACTGATACACGACCAACTGCTGCCGCCAACCGACCGTCCTCCAACCTCGGTTAGCCGCCGACCAACCGGTTGGTTTTTGGTTTTGCCGCGGTTTAACCGGGGGAACGAAAAACAAAGGTCGATTCGTCTGACACCTAAAACCAACCGGTAATTGACCAGTAACCGACCGACCAGCAGGAAAAAAAATTAAATTAACATAATTATATAAAAACCCACCAATTAGAAAAGAATCCCTCTGCTCCCCTTCTCCTTTTCTTTTCCTTTACCCAGCAACAAAACCCCTAATTCCTTTTCTTTTCCATACGAGACCGCCGCGTTTCCAATCTCCAACCCGCCGGTGACTTCGTCCTCCTCCACGACCACCACCATCTCCAAGCCGCCTGAAATCGACGACCTCCTCGCCAAAGCTGGGTACAAGGTCCGCGCATCTGACCTCAGCCACGTCGCCCAGCGACTCGAGACCGCCATGCTCAACTCGCCCTCCCAGCACCTCTTCCTCCTCGCCTCCGACGCCGTCCTCTACAACCCTTCCGATCTCTCCACCTGGGGTACTGCCGATTGGATTGGCCGAGATGGTAGGGTGGAGGCGAGGCGGTGAGGGCGGAGGAATGCAGGGGAGTCGTCGTCGACGGGCTGGCCGAGATGGGAGTGTGGAGGCGGCGGGGCGCAGAGAGGGGAGTCGTCGCCGCTGCTAAGAAGAAGTCTGGGCGATGTGTGGAGGCGGCTGGCGGTGGATTGGCCGATGTGTTTGTGAGGGAGGAACGAAGGCCAGGCTGCTAGGGTTGGAGTGTTTTAGGGATGGCAAAACGACGTCGTTTAGGTCGGTCGGTTAGCGTCGGTTAGCCGGTT